AAAATCATGCATATACTTCAGAGTCAGACTCAGGTTTGAAAGTAATTCTATCACTCATTAGCTACATGGCCTTAAGCAAGTTACATAATGTTGCTCAGGTTTTATTTTTTAATTTGTGAAAATGAGATGATAATACCTCCCGGACTTTCATGAGGACTCAGTGAGATAATGCGTGTAAAGTGGTCAGCCCGGTGATTTTCATGTAGTATCTCTCAAACATCAGATGTTGCTGCTATCGTGATCTTTTTGACAGTAGCCCACACTCAAGACTTTTCATTAATTCAGACTTGTCTTCTTCAGTTCACCTAATTAGTGAATTTTACTCTAGATGTAATCTTCATCCTGATGAGAATTTTAAATATGTAAGTAAAAAATTATAGAGAAGCAAAATGGCTATATAGATAGGTAGAATAAAAGAGGGAAAAGTAATATTTTAAAAGTGGAAGCACAAGGCATTAAGTTAGACTTAAATTACTGAATAGTAAAATTTGTGCATAATCTTTGTCCTTTATGAAAGATCTTTATATTAGCCAGGAAGAAATAGAGCTGTATGTATACAAAGTAGAAAGTATAGAGTGGGGCCAGCTCATATCATTCATTGAAGAGGGAAGCAGTAAGTTTATGTTCAACTTTATTTTCATCTTGTTGCTTTCCCCTGTGTTTCATAGGCTGTATGGATGAGAAATTTAAGCACTATCATGTCCTGCATAGAGACTATAATATCTCCTCCCCTAATGACAGGCTTACACAGTTTATCAGAATCCATCACCTCAGTAGATCAGACTGTATTACTTTGATGACTGGCAAATGGGTGCCACTTGTGAAATGAAAGCAACCATGTGTGTATGTGTGTTTATTAAGTGCTCTTCAATAGGAGGAATGTGTTTTACTGAAAACTCACTCCTATTATTTTTGTAGAAGCAAGAAGTGCTCATCTTCCTTTGGGAAGACATAAGAATTATTTTTCATGAGATTCTGAACTAGGATAATACCAATTCACAACCATAAATATGTTATAAAACCAGTTTTTTCATAATATGCATGCATAAATGGAACCTTGTGATAAAAACCAGAGGGGACAGAACCAATAATGTTGGGGTTGTGTGCCTTTGACTTTCCAGGGCTGCCCAATTTAAGCAGATTGTTTTTAAAAGTAAAGTCAGTTCTTTAAATTGACAACCATTGGTTTAACATATAAGAATTTTCATATAAGTAAATTCACAAGTCAGACAAAACCTTTTGTTAGATCATGTTTTCTAAGATTTGGGTCAGGAAAATGTCACATCTCTAATGCACAACATATTGATTAGTTGTATTTCAATGTGTATTTTTTTGGAAGTACTTAGTGGTTAGTTGTTAAAGTATGACATTATTTTTCTAGATCAGTATATCAACAGAAATAGCAAGAATAACTAATTTTTATTATATGCAGATCTGTGCTAGAAGCTGGGGATATAATGGGAAGCAAAAGAAAAAAAGACAGTCTTATTTGCTAACAACCTGTTAAGTAGGTATAAAAAAAAGAAACAAGTTCATAGAGTTTAAATAATTTGTCCAATGTTGGAATAGTTAGTAAGAGCTAGAATTATAGTGCAATATTTGTTACAGCAGCCTAACCTATATCCAGGTTAAGAGACTCTAAAATACAGTGGTTGAAACAAGTTAGAGGGAGCTCCCTGACAAAGTGAATTATATCAGCTCCGACTGCTTATACTTAGACTGCTGGGTAAGGGAGAAAGAAACTTCCATCTTACTACCTTCTGCTTGCCTCATTCATATGTCTAAAGATATATAAGAATTCTCTTTAATATATTTTTTAAAAAAATTGATTTTAGAGAGAGAGGAGGGGGAGGAAGAGAGAGAGAAATCGATGTGAGAAAGAGAAATTGATGTGAGAAAGAAACATTGATCAGCTGCCTCCTGCATGCCTTCTACTGGGGATCGAGCCCACAACTCAGGCATGTGCCTCGACCGGGAATCAAACCAGTGACCTTTTGGTGTACAGGACTACGCTCAGCCAACTGAGCCACACCAGTCAGGACATAAGTATTCTCTTTAAAGGCATTCCCTAGATGTTGGACTTTTAACTTCTACTCACATCCTGCCAGCCATACTAGCTGCCAGGAAGGCCTGGAAATATACTCTTTGTGGCAATGTACTTCTCAAAATTCAGGGGTTCTATTAATAAAGGAGAAGGGGAGATGGGGAAAATTGTCAGTGTCTGCATCACATGCTAATTAAGGGCATTGTTTCAAAGTGAAGTTTTGGCCACAGACTTGGACAAGTGACAGATAATCTTATGACTTTGGGATATCCTACATTCAGTATTTACTTCTTTTCAAGTAGTACATCAAGGTAATGTACATATGTATATAGTGTGTATCTATACTAATAAAAGAAAAACATGCAAATTAACTGTCCCTTCTCGATGCCCACAGCCATGGCCACCAGACAATCAGGAGTGAGTATGCAAATTAGTGGGACAAAGATGGTGGCAGCCACTGAGCCAGCCAGAGCAGGCAGGAGGCTTGGGTCACCCAGGCGACAAAGGAAGCCAAGCTTCCCGCCCACCTGGGCCAGTGCTGAAGGAGGGGAGTGGAGTAAGGGTAGAGAGAAAATGGAAGTGGGACTTTGCTCTCTCAGTGTGACATACAAGTACAGAGAAGCAATCCAAAAGGAGAACCCCAAGAGACAAACTCCAAACAGACCACATCCTTCAGAAGCCAAAACTTGAACCTTTCCTCTCATTATACCAAAAGCTGTATTCCTTTTAACAAGGTTTAGTTTGAATCCAGTAACTTGATTCAGCCACTTCCATGGGGGTGGGTTGGGGAGTGGAGTAAAGGTAGAGAGAAGATGGAAGTGGAACTTTGCTCTCTCAGTGTAGGTCAATAGCATGCACAGGATAGGTCTTTTCTCCAAGTCCTCAGAGAACTAGCAGTCTGTCTGCAGAGCTAATGTCTATGAAAACATTTAGTGAAAGCCAAGTGCTTAAACCGCGTGATATTGATTACTCCAGAGGAATCCAGATAAGGGATAAGTCAATGTGGATTTGTTTCTTGGAGAATGCTTCTTAGATCATGTCACAACTGAGGTGATTAAGAAGGCAGAGCTAATTAAGAAGGTAGAAGAAAGGGGACAAACAAAGATTCGGAATGAGCTGAGAGGGCAGTGGAGACTTCATGTTGGAGACTAGGAAATGTAGCGGAATGCTTCAAAAATATTATAGTGTTAGAGTTTGTCTGGGTTGGGAAGAGTATCTCAGCAACATAGGTTGCCAGAGGGCAGGGGGAAGTCAAGACTAAGTGTATCAGGGGTTGGGAGCCTGGCTGCACTACGGTTGGCCAGCAATCCAGTCCTCAGTGACCAAGAGGATGTGATGACCTTGAGAGTGGTTTAGGGAGAGTGTTGGAGGAGATCCAATTCAGGAGGTTTGGGCAACTAGAACAGGTGAGATTCAGAGCCAGGAATGGTGGTGTCATGGCAGTGGGGATTCTGATCCCAGCCAGCAGCAGGAGTCCTGGAATAGAATCTGGGGTCCTAACACTATAATATTCTGAAGATTGGGCCAATATGTTGGAGTTAGTAGGGAAATAGAGGGAGAAAGAATAATGAAGGAGTGTGGAGCAAATTCAGTGTATTTGTAGTACAAAAGGAATTCCAGTCGTGCTATCTGGCGTGCTGAGGTTGTTGCTCCTTTGCTTGCCTGATTAAGGTGGGCTGAAGGTCACAGCTACTCTGAGCCTCTTAAGTGGAGACTTCTATAGGGCAGGACAGGAGCTCAGAGGGGTCCTGGAGTGAATGTTGGGAGTGGAGGCCCTGTGGAAACAGCATCATTTGGAAGGAGTTGATACTACAGCTGAGGAGATCTAGGAATAGTGAGGGGGCTACCACATTCCAGGGTGAGGAGAACCAGGTCTGACAAAGCAAGTGGGGAGGGGGGGAACTTAGTAAAAATTAGAAGAAAAAGGGACTGCAAAAAACATTCAAATTAAGAAGTAACATGCTTTAGTGACAAGTTTGATATAATGGATAAAACCTAAAATGATTCCAGGTGGATTTTAAATGTTCATGTAGTATGGCGTTTTTGCTCATGGGCTAAAGGGCATTATAAACACGTATGCAATTGCTTTTGGCCTATTTTTTAAAAACCCAAATAAATAGAGTAAATTAATAAATAAATTGTGTTAAGGCTAAGCTTACCTATGTGTTTGCTGGCTTTACCTCTCATTGCTGTGGGTCTGCTTGGAACATTTCAGAAGTGTGAATAAATAGAAATGTTTCTTGCAAAGGTGTCTGTCATTCCTGGTCTACAATAGTGTTACTAATATACATGTACATGGATATGCACATGGATATGCCTAAGGTGGAACCTATCTGGGCCCTAGCATGCTGCTCTCATGGTGGCGGGGGCTTTGCCCCCACTGGGGTTGGTGTTGGCAGTGTTTGTACCTGCCTTTTACCCACCTGGTTAGCTCAGAGCCTTTGCCGAGAAAAGCGTGCTCCTGCCCAGCCAGATTGCTTCATCACAGGCTTCTCCATCTGCAGCTGTTGCTTCCCAGCCATCCACTTTGGTGCTAAACGATGGGACCCAGGCAGGGACTTTAGTCACGAAGGCGTAGGTCTTGGGACCTCAGGAGGGATTTTATTCCTGTTTATCAAGGCAAGGAAGAAAAGACAGAATCTGCTCGGGTAGGGAAACCTTATTTTCGAAATGCACAGACATGTGGTGTTTCTGGTTTTGTGACACGTGGATCTACACCTGGAGGTGGCATGGATTTGAAAGTCATTATTTAAGGTAAGGAAAGAAAACTTTAAACAGCATTAAAGTTTAATTCTGTTCAAACTTTTATTTACCATAAAAGAGCCTGTAGTTTTGTTGTGTTTTTGAACTGTTGAGCTAAATAATTTTAGTGATCAGCAAAAGACCAGTCATTCTAGTTGTGAGAAGTTGTTTTATAAAGGCTTGGATTAATAATGTGTTTGCATTTTGTTCACAGATGTACTATCTGTGGGACAGGGATAGGCTGAACACCCGCTTCACTAAGTACCTGCTTCACATCACCTTTCACATTTTCTAGAAAAACAGCTGTTGGAGAATCAACATGCTCCCTTCAACAAAAATGGAAACAAGCGAAGACCCTAAGAATGCCACCGCTGCCAGCAGTTAATGATGCCGGGGCTATGCACGCAAGCTTCAGCAAAGAAAGTTTTCAAGACAGTGTGTGCCTCACTAGCCAGAAATCAGGAAATTTCGTCTCAGTTGCTCCTTAAATCAGCACAACCCTTCCAAATGAACATGAATTGAAACATGCATTGGCTTTTCAACTTAATTGAGTAATTACTACACGTGAATCACTATACGGAGCAGGGGAAGGAACATGAGAGAGGGAAGGAGACAAATGAGATGTGGTCCCTGCTATCCATAGATTTATTAGTTTCAATGAACATTTTTGTGTGTGTCTTCTGTTCTTAATAAGTGTGTCTCTAAGACAGGAAACAGAGTATATTTCTCTGAGTATTTTATGTTCCTTTAATAAAAAAACAAAACAAAACTTCTAATGTGAACAATTCAGGACATCTTAATTCCATTTCTTTTTGGACCTTAATTCCATTTCTTTTTGGACTTCTGATAGGTAGGATCCTTTTTGTTGATTTCAAAAATGTTCTGTAGACTTTAGAGATATCAACACATTATAGTTGGAGTTAACTTGAATTAAATTCCTTTTTCCCTGTAGGTGTAGAGTGTCTGTTGGAAAACTATATTATGTTTGTACATTGGTGGGGAGTGGGTGAGGGAATCACATCTGTTTCAATAGGCCTCTACCTTGAATGCCTAGGGGCCTGCCGTCCTGAGTGAATTATTAGCATGGAGGAGGGGAAGGTTTGGATCAAGCTTGGGGTCCTTACTCATGGACCCAAGACAGGGCAGGACAGGAGCCAAACAGACCTGGAAAATGGCTGTGTGTGAAAATTTGGCTATTTCAGTATTCATGGTGTTGTCCTCTATGTTCTATAAGTTGAGTGACTATATACTTTTTCCAAAAAATTAGTTCTGATCTGGGAGTAAGTCATGATTTTTCCAGTGTTAAGACACTAATATGATTGTTGACACTAGACATTTTATGTAGTGTCTGTGACACATTTTGTTATGTATGAGCCAACAATCGACATGTCTTTGTCTTGAGAGTGTCCATCTAAATTGAAAATGTGCCAGGGTTTTAACATTATCAACAGACTTCTTAATTAAGCTGCCAATACATACTGCCAATAGTACTGTGTGTCGTCTGAGAAATGAATTGTGTAAGTGCTGTTTCCCTCTTATTGAATAAATAATGTTACTCCATATAAAATTGATTTAAAGTGTTCTTTGAGTGGGGTATTATATTGTTCCCTAAAGAATTTGATGAGAATTCTCATATAATCCCTTTTTATTTAATTTCTGAAAACTTTCATTTTGCTTCTCAGTAAAGGATTATTCTAATTTGACCAACAACTTTAGTTATATGATTCACCTTTAATAGGATGAATCACCCAGCTCCCAAACCCTGGTGATATTGTGTATTTGTTATGTCACTTTCAATTTGCCTGAAGTAGCTTTCAATAATCTGAGTTATGAACTTGTTTTGTACTAAATTGTAGATATTTATTTTTTTGTTCTGGGAGTTTTGTTAGAAGTAACATCTCTGTATTCCTGGTGCCTAGCACAGTGCCTGGTGCATAGCAGGTATGTGTTCAGTTAACACTTGGTAACCAAGGTGTGTAAAGTAGCCTTTTTATCTATGGTTCATAAGGCTCTATAAAAGATAGAACAATCTTGCTAACAGAGTAAGCTTGCTGTTGGTTTGTAGTTTATCATCTGATACTTTATATATAGTCTAGTCCTCTACATTGGACCTCTTAACTGCAGTTTTGGACTCAGCAGCTCAGCCCTATGATTTGTACCAACAGCCACTGCTTCCCTGGTCCTTGTCACACAGGGGCAGGTCCTGAGGGCTGTCCCACCTCTCCGATGGCTTGTTCATCAATGGAAGGGCAATCACTCTATTCACGGGGCACTCACGATGCTCCAGGCACTGAGCTAAGTGCCTTACACATATCCTTTCATTAATTATCTCACTTAAACCTCACAACAACCACTTGAAGTATTACCCACTGCAGTGATATGTATCTTGTTTAAATCATGGGGATGTAAATCCAGATCTCTTAGATCCCAAAGCCTGAATTATTAACCCCTAGTCTCTGCCGCATCCCTGGAGAAATTTCCAGTGCCAGGTGGTGGTGTGGGGGCAGCTCACATCTGGATGTAGTCCAGATTCACTGCATTTCGTTTCCCCAACAGCAAACTGTCTAACAGATAAAACACAGCAAATCACAATTGTTTTAAGGATGGGGAAAGCAGAGCAATTGAGGGAAAGCAAAGTTGGAACAAACCAGTTGAGTCAAACCTTTAGCCTTTACCTCAGAGTGTTTCTGTTTGATTTTTTTTTTTTACTTTCTTTTTTTAACATGGCCTGACACCATGTGATAAATCAAAGCCTGACGTAATTGACCCAGAATTGATCCCCGAATGTCTTTTGGGGGAACATGCTTTAAATCTGGTTGTTGATTCTGAGGAATAATTGCCACCCTGGAAAGGTAATTACATATGCCATTGTTTATACACATAATAGACTCAGAACGCATGTTCTGCATAGAGGAGAAGAGAACCCTGCTCGCACATTAGGGGTGTGTGGTCTGTATTGTGTTAGAATGCCACAAATAGCATTTGAACTGCTCCCGATTACTGCTGATGTCCTGATGTGCGTGCGTGTGTGTGTGTGTGTGTGTGTGTGCGCGCGCACACACACGTGTGTGTAAGAGAGAGGCTGGCAGTGAGGAAGGGGATGGGCCACGGGAGGCTGCATGTTGCGCTGAAAGGGCAGTGATTTGCTTTTCCTGATGCTTTAGTTTGCCAAAACATCTTCTGGATCTGATTCACTTAGCCTGGTCTGGTAAAAAGACTGTTTTTGTCCTGCTTGGCATATGCTTATTAATGAGTTCTCATATTTCTTTCCATCAAGGGCTGTTTACTTTGTGGAAATATAAAGTGAGAATCGTCCTCCGCAACATCCTCCTAAATGCCCTGGTTTTGACCACCCCTTTAAGTAAACCAAGCCGTCAGCGAAAATGGCAGCGAGTGCCTCTCCTCTCCCTCGCTGTGCGTTCTGGTAAAACATAAATGGGATTTAGACCACAAATGACCAATGAAAGCACTTCATGCTTTTTCCTTTAGCCATAAGACAGCAGTTATCCTAAGTAAATACAACAAACAGGCTATTTTGTGGTAGTCTAACCCTAGCAACATGTACATATCTATTTAAATCACAGCCTCATAAACACAAAATCATGACTCTTTGGAGTGCTGCATTATGAAAGAAATAGATATGTATTCCAATGTGGAACCGAGCATTGTTTGAGGCTGAAGCAATTCATCCCGGGCTGTTCCTGCCGCAGTGTCCGGCAAATTGCATGACCTGCTTGTTGGGCTTGACAACAGGGCTTTACCTAACAAAGGCCTCGCAGCGCCGGGCAGCCGTGGAATGTCAGAACGAGCACATTTCACACACAGATGTGCGGCCATAATAGCCCGTAAGAAGATGCATGTGGCAGGGCGCAGAGGATGGGGGCTGGGAGCTGGGATCGCGTGGCCTGTGAGTGTGCAGGTTGAGGGCCAGCGGGAGGGGGAGGCCAACAGTTAGCAGTAGGGACATGGCCCCACTGACCACATTTAATCAGCCCTCTGTAAACAATTCAACATTTTCATTGTTCTCTAAAAACTAATAAAGAGAAACAAGCACTTTTCATTCATCTTGAAGTAATTTTCTGTCAGGTTGGAGCCCCTCGTGGCCTCCAGCTCATGCAATGCTAGCTGTGTGATACAACAACGATTGCAATTTATTTTACAAACTCTGGTCATTCACATGTCAGTTAGTGTTCACCAAGCCGGCATCTGAAATTGTGCAGTTAACGAGTTTTACAACATTTCTATCAAGAGAAACTGTTTAGCATAACTGACTCTTAAGGAGTTATTATACCTCTAAAAATCCATTTTAAGGGGCATTATTTAAATAAAATAGAAAAACGGTTCACTGCCTTTTAAAGGGGCTGCAGAAAAAGTCCATCAGCTCCCGCGCCGTAATCCTCAGCTTAAAGCACTCTTGAGAGTACTTCTGGGAATTGTCAGCATAATGAAATGTTTTGTGAAATGTCCAGATAGATTCCTCTGCTCAACAATTTTACTGCGCCATATTTATTTTCCTTCCCGTTTTTAAAGAAGCGAATTACTTTTTGAGAGGATGACTCTGTGCTGTGCAGATGAACTGAGCACATTATTACCCAGGTTGCAGCAGAAGGGATGGTCCTGTCTGCGGTGCCATCTCCACGCATCTGCAGACGGGGCCAACGAAGGGGAAGGCCGCTGTCCCCCCTTCGTGCTTCAGCTCCAAGAGTTAAGTCACGAGGAGGCTTATGGAGTTTCACATGTCCCCCAGACTTTTAGACAACTTTGGTACACAATAGCGCTAATAATACTTTCTTTAAACTTTACAGAAAGGACTCTGTTTTCTTCCCCTAAATAAATGCAGGAAAACCGATACACATGTACCTCGGCACATGCGTGATGATGCATAGTGTTTGAGTGGCCCCTTTCAATAGGAGATGCTAGTGAACATGTTAATTAAAGAAGAATAGATTCCTCACATTAGTGGAGATGGCCAATGACCCCAAACCAATTAATGGCTAGAATCCATAATGGAGCACTCTATGGCATAGCAGCAAATTCATTTAGTCAATTATATTACCTGGCAGAAGTAGAAGCCACCACTTGTAATGTGAATGGTTTAATGGTTCTTTCTACTATGAGCAAGATCAAGAGAAAAATTATGTCCTGCTGTAACAGGAGTTATTCCGTATCCCTAGGAGGTGTATCTATAACATGGCACATTTTCATGTTGCCACAAACGGTCCCCTAATTTCTTAGACTGATATTTGTGCACACGACTGTAATTTTCTGAGGGAGACAGGCAGGTGTTCTTGTGCCTGTTAGCTGTATCTGCCCATAAGAGGCACAGTAACATCCATGAACCAAATACAATTTGACATAATTCATGCCTTTATTACCTCCTACGGAATGGTATTATTTCATGCTGGCACATTAATGTTTCCAGCACAATACTGTCATTCCTAGAGATTTTACCTTCTGAAGTTCAAATATTGAGGAATGAGTTTTAAAACCCTCTAACAGCATTAGATTTGGGGGAAATGCAACTTATTCCAAGGCCACCTTTTTCCCTCTTTTAATATTTGGTGGCACTTCAGACAATGGCAAGATCATATCTGAAAACTCTCACCTCTTCCTGACCAAAGAGCTTGCTCCAATATTTTGCAAATATTATTTTCATTTTTGCAAATAATATTTTGTCAACTTCTCATGTCATACCTTGCTGCTATTGGTTCCCCTAGTGATGTAAACGAAAAATGTTGACCAAAAATGTTTAAGTGAGTGCAACTTGAATCTACTGGATATAGTACTCAGCTCTGTCCTAATACTCCAGTATTCAAAATTAGTTAGGGAGATGGAGTGTATAAGTTTCCTATTGTTACCATAACAAATTACCACAAATTCAGTGGCTTGAAATAACACAGATTTATTATATTATGTTCTGTAGGTCAGAGGTCTCACTGGGCTAAAATCACTTGTTGACTGAGCTGTATTCCTTCTGGAGGCTCAAGGGAGGATCTTTCTCTTGCCTTTCCTAGCTTCTGGCTGCCTGCTTTCCTCAGCTCATGGCCCCTGCCTTCTCACATGACATCTGTCTGACCCCCTCCCATCGTCACATCTCTGTCTCTCTCCGTAGCCAGGAAAAGTTCTCCACCTTTGAGAACTCATGTGTTTACATTGGGTCCACCCATATAATCCCGGGTAATCTCCCTGTCTCAAGGTCCATACCCTTTTCACACCTACAAAGTCTCTTTGCCGTGCAAGACATCACATTCAGAGGTTTCGGAGGATGGAACTTAGACATCTTATGGGCGGGCATTAGTCTGCCTACCACATGGAGTCTCTGCGAGTTCTTTCTCAAACTGATATTTGAAGGATTAATAGCAGTCTCCAGCCTCGTAGTCTCTTAAAATCATGCACAAAAATGGTTTTAAAATTTTGAGTATGCACCTTAATATATGTAAATCTTCTAAACCACACTGTTATATAATACTAGAGGCCTGTTGCACGAAGAGATTTGTGCAATAGGCCTTCCCTTCCCTTGGCTGCTGGCACCAGTTTTCCTCTGGCACCCGGGACCCAGGCC